ATATTAATTCTTTGAAAAATGTCATTTTTATCATCTTAGTCACTTTCTATTGTTGTGGAGACCCCATAACCAAGGCAACTCATAAAAGTAAGCATTTAATTAGGGGTTTGCACATATCAGAGGTTTAGTCCATTATCATCGTGGCACACATGATACTGAAACATTAGTTCAGAGCTATATCCTAATCTGTAGGCTGACAGAAAGAGCCTGGGCCTGGTGTGGGCTTTTAAAGCCTCAAGACACACCCCCAGTGCCATGCTTCCTCCAACAAGGCCACGCCTACTCTACAAGTCCATACCTCCTAATCCTTTTCAAACAGTGCCACTCCATGGTAACCATGCTTCCTCCAACAAGGCCACGCCTACTCTACAAGTCCATACCTCCTAATCCTTTTCAAACAGTGCTACTCCATGGTAACCATGCTTCCTCCAACAAGGCCACACCTACTCTACAAGTCCATACCTTCTAATCCTTTTCAAACAGTGCCACTCCATGGTAACCATGCTTCCTCCAACAAGGCCACACCTACTCTACAAGTCCATACCTCCTAATCCTTTTCAAACAGTGCCACTCCATGGTAACCATGCTTCCTCCAACAAGGCCACACCTACTCTACAAGTCCATACCTTCTAATCCTTTTCAAACAGTGCTACTCCATGGTAACCATGCTTCCTCCAACAAGGCCACGCCTACTCTACAAGTCCATACCTCCTAATCCTTTTCAAACAGTGCCACTCCATGGTAACCATGCTTCCTCCAACAAGGCCACACCTACTCTACAAGTCCATACCTTCTAATCCTTTTCAAACAGTGCTACTCCATGGTAACCATGCTTCCTCCAACAAGGCCACGCCTACTCTACAAGTCCATACCTCCTAATCCTTTTCAAACAGTGCTACTCCATGGTAACCATGCTTCCTCCAACAAGGCCACGCCTACTCTACAAGTCCATACCTCCTAATCCTTTTCAAACAGTGTTACTCCATGGTAACCATGCTTCCTCCAACAAGGCCACGCCTACTCTACAAGTCCATACCTCCTAATCCTTTTCAAACAGTGCTACTCCATGGTAACCATGCTTCCTCCAACAAGGCCACGCCTACTCTACAAGTCCATACCTCCTAATCCTTTTCAAACAGTGCCACTGGTAACTAAGCATTCAAATAACATGATCCTATGGGGGCCATTCTTATTCAAACTATCATGTGCATACAATGTATTTTGATCATATTCACCCCCAACTCCTCTCCCTAATCTATTTTATGTGAGGAGGGGTCTCACATGGAACCTGGAGCTCACCACTGGCTAGACTGGATGACCAACAAACCCCAGAGGTCCTGGGACACTGACTCCTGACAAGTCCTAGAATTTCAAGTGTATGCTGCTGGGAATTTGAACTCAGGTACTCGTGCTAGGGTGGTGTGTACTTTACCAACTTAGACATCTCCTTAGCACCAATTCTAATATTTTGATAGCTAACAAAGTCGAGTTACATAATCACATAGATTATATATGTACATACACACATACAAAATTATACACATTCCTGTGTATTTCTGCAGGTAAGTACTTACTTTAAGGAACCAAAAAGTAAACTTCAGAATCATAAGGTCTTAAGAGTCGGCAGGGAGTTAATGCCATGCAGACAACCTTCCCTTTGTGGAGAGTCTTGTCATGTGCTGTCCTTGATTATGCCTTGTTTTGCTGGCCTCACTCTGACAGTAGTTGTGTGGGCCAGAGAACCTGTCCTTGGAGGAGACACGCCCCCACCCCTAGCCTTTGACGCCATCTTCTTTCTCTAGATTTGCCAGGGGGAACAGTATTCTTTTTTCTTTTTGATACAGGGGAGAGAGAGGGAGAGTGGCCTAATTCCTACAAACCTCCCTTCCTGTCTCTATATCTTCCTTTTTTTCTCCAACCATTTCTTACAAATTTCCAGAAACAGACCTTGGATCTGGTCTTGGACTGGGTGCAGCCCTTGAAATGTGAACTGAAAGGGCAGAGTCCATGGACCCTATGGAATTGAATTCTGGTCCCACGCTTCTACCACCACGGCAGGTAATTTAGCAGCCCTCCCCGTTTGCACACACACACACACACACACACACACACACACACACACACACACTCTGCTGGATCATACTGTGTGTCTGTGGGATAAACTCCTGAATGAACCACTGACAAGCCAAGGCTCTCCCCTTTAACAAAATCGAAATGTTGAGCTTCACATTTATTTTTGTTAACTTTCTTCGTGATGGTTTCAGCCCTTCCTGTTCCAACCTGTCGAGATCGTTCTGCATGTTGATGCTGACATCCATCATATTAGCAGATCCCTCCCAGCTTTCTGTCATCTGCAAATGTGATCAGCATGCTCCCGTGTCTTCTTCCAAGTTTTTGATGAAAGCTCACTGTATTTTTTAAAAAGTCTTTTAATTTAGTTGATTTTGGTCCAATTTTTGATAATTTTGTAGAGCTATCTAAATGCAGGAGAACCCAAGCAGTGAAGATCAACCTGATTCCAAAACAATGCAATTAAAATAAATATGCTTTGCAAACTTGAGCTGGGCCTCAAAGGCAGCATCAGCACGACCCAGATTTTGTCATGGGGCATTCTGTTATTTGGGGCAAAGCTAACAATTAAATTGGATAAATATTTGTTGATGAAGAGGATGACTCCAGACTAACAGACTGAAGAGTGCAGAGACAAGCAAACACACTGGATTGATTTTTTTCAATGTAGAGACAGTTCCCAGCTGGGACAACTCAACGTACTGGGGAGACATTGCCACTGCATGAGAAATTAGGCCATTGACACCGACAATTAGATAGTTTGTGGATATAATATCATCCTGGGGGGGCGACTTTTCTGGATTGACCATCAGTAGCGATGCTGAATGCCTTGGGATGATGTCAGCTTGCATGCCCCAGCCTTAGCTAAGGCAGCACCTGTAAGCTTCACTGATGCAGATGGATTGCAGAGGGAGGGGCAGAGGTGCAACCAGAGAGTGTGAGGTGTGGCTCCTAACTTGACCTCTGATAGATGTGTTTTGCTGTGTGACCTTGGACCAGTCAACTTTTTCACCTCTCCTTGTTTTGGTCTCTTTATTTGGACCATGGGGACAATAACACATATCTTAGCGGTGTTACTACATGGCACCAGACAGTGTAGTGCCTATGCTTATTAGCACACTTGATAAATAGCCAGAGTGAAAAAGTTTGATCAAAGTAACAGTATACAAGGTACCATGCTGACGTTTTGGCAAATTTCATCATATTTAATCTTCACAAATAACCCTGGGAAGCAGATAATATTACCAAATAACCAGACGAGGAAACTGAGGCATTAAAAGATCAGTTCCTCAAGGTCACCCAGCTAGCAAATACTGGCATCGGGATTTTCATCTAGACTTGCACTCTTTCCAAGCCCGAGCCCTTAGTCAGAGCATTATTCTGCTATACTATTATACCATTTGAGACTCGGCTTTCATCAAGAGATGCTACTTACAATCAGAATAAGGGTCCTCAACCTTTGGTGCTGAGGATCTACCGTGCTACTTATAGGGAGTCTTATGATCAGCTGTAGAGAGGGCTCTGCTGCCTAGTGTGAGGGCGGGGAGGGGGCAAGAGGATCTCAGCATGTACACTGTCATTTCTGTCAACACAGTAACCTAAAACGAGGCCGCACAGCAAGGGCATACTCCTGTTCCTTGCCAGGCATTCACCCAGATGCTGGAAATGCTGAATTAGCCATGGAAAAGGCAATCAGACCAACCAATGGGGGACCCCACACACACACCAGCCTGTCTTCATTTGTGTCTCTAAGCTTATTTTCAAGTGGAGGTAATGCCCTTTCTAGCTCATAGCGATTTCAAGGGAGCAATGAGACAGTCTTATACTGTGTCTAACACAATGAAACATTATTCAGTAACTAGGACCATTTTTCTCCTCTTCCATCTCTACTGACTGTATTTTACTAGAACTCTGCTTTTCAAAGTCCTATAAAAATGGCCTTATCATGTTTGTAATTTTTCTCAAAAACCTTCTATGGCTCTTTTCAATGCTGGTCAATTTAGGGAAATTTGCAGACTTCACACTGGTGATTTTTTTTATGATGTCCTATGTTAAATTAAAATATTGATATGTTTTGGTTGACTGAAATAACAACACTGGTAAGCATTTATACTTTTCAAAATGTTTTTGTCATCCTTGTGTGACTGGTGCTCAAAACCCTCCTCTGGTATTAAACATGGTAACCATTTCTACTGCAGGGAGGAGGAAGCCAAGCCCAGGAGACAGGTGACACAGGCAGGAAACAGAAAGACAGGGTTCCATCCTAGACCTCCTAACACCCCTGATGCCAGGGCTTGCTCCTCCCCCAAGGTCTCATCTCCTCAGATTAGCTTCAAGTTAATCAATGAGGATGGAATTGGGTAGACTGCTTAAGGATAATTTGAGGCTCACTTAGAGGGTTTGATCACAATATGAGAAACTCAAAGTCACAATTTCTAATTTCTTTTCCTTCCTTCCTTCCTTTCTCTCTCTCTCTTTCTTTCTTTCTTTTTTTGGTTTTTTGAGACAGGGTTTCTCTGTGGCTTTGGAGGCTGTCCTGGAACTCGCTCTGTAGACCAGGCTGGTCTCGAACTCACAGAGATCCGCCTGCCTCTGCCTCCCGAGTGCTGGGATTGAAAGCTTGTGCTGCCAACAACCACAATTTCTAAAGCATCAAAGAATTACGAATCGTAGTTCCCCTGTGCAGCTTTTCCTCAGCAACCACAGGAGTGATGGGCATAGCCCTGTCAGGGTCACAGTTAAAGCATTTAGAGATTCAATAAAGCCAAGTTATTCGGTGTAGTGAACGCACTAGCTGCTAACTGAAATGAAAACTACAGGAAAGGTAGGCTACTGACTAGCACAGCGTCAGGCACAGTCATCCGTCAACTCTTGTTACTATTGTCACGAATGGAGTCGCATAATCATTCAATAGCAACCATAGAACTTACCCTGGAATAATCGAGATCTCTGGGCGTTGCATCTGTTAAAGCTCGGACAAGCGCGTTCATCATACAGATTGGAGGAGACGGTGGGGAAGGCTGCGAGGGCTCCTGCTGTAGCGGGCTCTTTGGTTTGGAAGGCAGCCGGCCTCTCCTGCCTTTCAGACTGTCTGTACGCACAACTGATAATGCACACAGAGAAAGAGGGAAAGAAAAACAGTGTTCAAAGATCACATTCGGGACAGGCATACACCATGCAAAGGAATCCAAACACATTAGGGTTTGGCAATGATGAATGAGCGCCACCATTTCAAAGCACTGTTACGTTTAGAATAACGCTCAACAGTGATTGTGCTAGAGTTGAAATAATGTGGAAAAAAAAGATATCCCATCCATACTTACATTTGCTGATGGGTTAGCTCTGAAAATCTCCTTCTCAAATAGAACAATGGGTTTTTAAAAATTGACTTTTGAGAAATTAGAATAAGCTTAGAATAAGCAGTCCTTAATGTTACGTTAGTGTAAATATAAATAACGATTAAGCAATGTTTGAAAGAAAGAGGAACTAGGGAAAGTTGCTGCCTTAATATAAATATTAGCAGATTTGCTGTTTGAGGGTATGCATGAGCAAGCCGGGTGAGAAGCATATGCTCTTACCTTCTTTAACCATCCCCACACTGAGACACTTTTGAAATCGGCAGTACTGACATCGATTTCGACGTCTCTTGTCTACTGGGCAGTTTTTATTTGCCAGGCAAACATATTTTGCATTTTTCTGCACCGTTCTCTGAGAAAATATAATACAGAGATAGTCAACTAATAGTTTCTGCAAAGAGGTAAGACCTGACAAGATGTATTTTAATTACAATGTGAAAAGCGACAGTGCAATTTGTATAATTAGATAAATTTAATTTCCTAACACGCTAGCCTGCAGGAAAAACAATTTTATTAGTGTTCCTGGCTGACAGTGAAAATCATCTTGGGTTGTTCCGAAGCAAGTCTCAGGAGGCATCCAACTCTGAATGATAAAATCATATCTGAAATTACCAGGTCAACATATCGTACCTCAGAGGATTAGATTATCTCCACTTTTAATATCCCCCTGGGAACAATTTTCTACTTGTTCTACTCCCCTGATTATCGCTGACCTTATTAAAATAAAATCAGAATTATCTGGGCTGTCCTATGTGTGGTATCACTATTGTAAGCCAGATATCTCAATAACCAATTTTGTTACTCAATAGAGAGGGACTCATACAGAGTAAAATCACAGTTTGCCTTGTTAAAATATATAGGAAATGATGTTTTCATTCTAAAACAGATAGGAAATCATGGTTTAATTAAAAAAGAACTCCAGATGATTGCACTACTTAGCTCACTTTTTCTTTAAGGGATTCATATATGTATAATAAACTGGCCATTTCTGACTTCCAGTTCTGAGAAAGAAATATGAAAGTCATACACATCCCAGTATTTCATGAATGACTATTATTACAGACACCAAAGAACCACATTAAGACACATCATAAAACTTGACGCTGGAGATAAAAATAACATCACATTTTTCTGAATCACATAGGATTTTGAAATAACATGGAGCAATACTTGAATATAATCTTACGCTCCAAATGTAAAATAATGCTTTAAGAAAACAAGCAAGCACGCAAACAAACAAATGACGACGACGACAAAACACCCTGAAAACCTTTGTGCAAACGGTTGCGCTTTTATCACTTAGGATGACTTGCTCCTCAACTCCACCCCGAGCAGAGCACTAAGTTTATGTGGCATGTCTTAAAGGAAGCTTAGGTAAACTGTGCTTAGTAATCTGCTTGGGGTCCAACACTCCAGCTTTGGTTTTGCCCTCTGTACCCACTCTTCTTACCTCCCCAGTTTGAGTTTTACCCTGTGGCCTTTTTATTCCATTTAAGGGAAGGAGGATGCACGTGCAGAAAGCCAACCTGTGTCAAGTCTAAGACCTGGCTGCTGGGTTTAGATGGGAAACAGAGACTTGTGGGTATTCAGCAGCTCCAGTCTTGGCAGTCTGATTGATGGGAGCCTTTGAATGAAGCTCTCTCCCAAGGACATGCCCATGTCTTCTGGACACTGTCCTCAGGGCAGCGCACCCATTTAAGCTCGTGTGGCATTGTGCTTCAGGTGTACATTTTCCCAATAACCTGAAGCATTTCCTACATTAGTGCATGTCTGCATGGCGTAGGGGCAGAGAGATCGTTACAGTTCAATCGCCGAATTCCCATCATTAACTGCACTTCATGTCACATTTTTAAAGAATTCAATTTAATGGTAGAAAGCCACTGGGTAAATCCGCCTCCAGTTCCCTTAATTAACAGATCCGTGGGGTGGTCCTACCCCAGCCTGCCCCCACCCTTTCAAGTATAGATCTGTTTTCAAGGGAATGCGGGAGAAAAGGGAAGCTGAATGCATGTTTCTAGACTTGGGATGTTGCAGTCCCCTGTTGCGATGAGTTCCCATTGATTCAGGGGTGGTTCTACTGCAGTCTTCATTCAACTCTTACTGCAGTGTCTCTTTCTCCCTTCCTGCTGACTGATCACAGCCCTTCAGCATTTCCATTGAAATGCTATAAAAATCAGGCCCGCTAAAGGGATGTAGTTATGTGGAAGTAGCTTTGAGAAATCTTGAGTAGGTGACAGGCTGGTGGGGGGGGGGAGAAAAGGGAGGAGGCTGACCTTGGGGTTGGGTCCTAGCTCTGTGGTAGGGCGCCCACCTAGCAAGCACAAGGCACCCTCCCCGTTCAGTCCCCAGCACTGAGGGACAAAGCAAAGCTAACCTAAATGGCTTATTAAAGGGAGATTCCGCAATGCCTGAGACGCCATACATAAGCGTGCACATCTGTGGGGCGTTTACGATGGCAACGCCTTTATCCAAGCATTCTTTCATTTACCTAGAGAATTCAATGACTGGCATTGTCAGACCGAAAATAACTGCTGGTTAGTTTACATGTCCAACTACAAGCATGTGCATTGTGACAAATACTTCAGAGTTCTCATCCACGAATAACTATTGTTTTACTTCTCTTGAAAGACTAGGAAGTGTTCTTGTATGTTGATATCTTATTTAATGCGGCCTTTTGTCTGGGCTTGATCCGCTGGTTGGGAAGTTCAGATCTAAGGAGAAGACTTGTGTGCTGTGTGATAAACTGGTAGGTGGTGACAGTTGGGGTTCCTATTTGAATCTCCCAGCCCCATGCCCAGCATGCTCCTAACATGCTCTGTTTGCTTCCCAAACCCTAGTCACCCAATCAGCATCTCACCCCTCCCATGTCGTTTGTGTGGGTCTGCGCATGCCTGGAGTGTCAGCAGGTTAGGGTGTGAGGAGGATGACACAGAAAGGCCTAGAACCACCCGAGACTCAATGACAAAAGTGAACGAGAGAATAAGTAAGCTGATGCCCCCCTGTAACACACACACACACACACACACACACACACACACACACACACTCTCTCTCTCTCTCTCTCTCTCTCTACACTCTCTCCAGGGGTGGAAAGACTATTTAACTCCAGAGTCAAGAGAAGCCAGCAGTCCCTATCCACATGCAAGCACAACACTGCACAAGCTTGCCCAAGGGGTTCAGTTTCTTTGTTGATAGTAAGGGGAGGCTGATGACACTGCCCCTGTAACATTCTCCACTGTGTCTGTGAGAGAATGACCAGCATGGATATTCTGTGTGTGTGGTGGTGGGGCACTCGTGTGGGGGGGGGCGTGCGTGCATGTGCACACATGGAGGGAGGCAAGTATTCCTAGGAAACAGGGTAGACTGGCGAGGCCTGAGTTCTACCTTCTACCCTTCCCTGGAGGAAACTGCCCCCAAATGCCTCTAGACATTCATATCCTGTCCCCACCATTCTGCCACTGCAGAGCTACGGGAAGGAGGTGTCTTGGGAGCACACAGGTGTGAGCTGTCCTGTCTCCACCTCGCTCTCCGAGTATGAGTTCTGTGGCAGCTGAATGACCTCTCTCCTATGAGGAACAGAGACAATTATCCTCTGCCTTCAAAGCACACTGACTAAAAACAGCTAGCGAGTGACCAAACATCAGTCTTAAGTGTGTCTGATTCTAGGCTCGCAGCTCTTCCTGTGAGGATTGAGACACAAATGCCCAGGCCTGCCATACAGGCGATATTCTCTCAGATACTCTGTGTGTACGGGGAAGGGATAATGACATTTGGGCCTTGTTGAAGTTTAGATCCTTTAGAGAATTTGCAGAAGACCCTGGGAAGGAAAAAGAAGAAAAAAGAAAAGAAAAGAAAACCTCTTAGAAGGCAATGTCAGGTCAAGAGGTTGGGGCAGACCCATCAAATGCATGGACAGGTTGTTGTTCAAGACTTGGAGTTTAAAAGCAAGACGGGTGTGAAGTTCTAGCCTAGGAATAGGTATGCATAGTGGGTGAGCTTTCACACTGGCAGGGGCAAGAATGTAGCTCCAGGCACTTAAATGCCTCAGCAAGGGGCCTGACTGCCGAGCAGAGGAAGCGGCTGGAGGAGGCAAGCTCTCACCTTGAAGAAGCCCTTGCAGCCCTCGCAGGTGCGTACCCCGTAGTGCTGGCAGGCGGCATTGTCCCCGCACACCGCACACGTGCCCTCGCCGGACGATGAGCTCCTGTTGGGTGGCGACGGCAGGCTGGGGCTCTCTCCCAGCAGGCTGGACGCGGTCGGGGAGGCTGTGAGACCCAGCGGCGGGAAGGTCAGCGCGGCCGTCGTCCTCTTGGATAGCGGGAGCCCGTACGGGTGGCCCTCGAGCGCAGACGCTTGGCTGCCCGCGGCGGCGGCGGCTCCTAGAGGCAGGCTGAGCGCGGCGGCGGCAGCGGGGTCGTAGCCGAGGTGGTGGCCGCCGGCTGGGCTGGGCGCGGGAGGGTGCGGCGGCGAGGGCTTGAAGTGGAAGATCGGAGGGAAGCGCGCCGCAGCCATTGGGGGCACCGCCTTCATCTGCGGGTCCAGCAGCTGGCCCGGCGCGATGCAGCCAGGCGCCGAGGGCAGCTCCTCGTCCCACAGCGCCCCCGCCTGCGGGGGGGGAAGCCTGGCGTGCTCGGCGTGGACGGCGGAGACTGCTTGAAGTACATGGAAGTGCTGGGCACTACGTCGTCCTCGGGGCCAGAGGGCGGGGGGAATGGACGGCTGCTGCTGCTGCTGCTGGTGATGGTGGTGGTGGTGGTGATGGTGGTGGTGGTGGTGGTGGTAACCATGCTCACGGCCCTCTTCCATCTTGATCAAAGGCCGCGGCCCGGAAGGCGGCATTTGGTACAGGCAGGAGGGCTTGAGTTCGCAGCTGCTGGGGTAGCCCTCCATGAAGGTACTGAAGCTGGGCAGGGACGTCGTGGCGGTGGCCATGATCCCCGTGCTCCCGAGGTCCATGGTCAGCTTGGCGTAGTCGGGGTTCATGATTTCTGTGGTGTATTCCGAGCCATACGTCTGCGTGGCGTAAGTGGACCCCGGAGGCGAAGGGCTATACTGGGCTTGCACGCAGGGCATATCTGCAGGGACAGAGAGGGGCCCAGAAGTCAGTGGATACTCCTTTGCCAGCTGAATTCACTGCTCTTGAATCAGGAAACAGAGCAAGTGGCATCCTGTCCCCGCTGCTGGCAGACTGAGTGTCCAAGCTCACTTTTCTCTTTGGTAGGAAGACAGCTGAGCCCCTGACTGGCAAAGGGGTGGGGGAAGGGGGGAGAACCCGACCTCCTGGAGATGGCTACACCCTCCCTTGCTCTGGCCATCAGACTGGATACAAATGTTTTCCCTCATAAGCCCAGAAAATTAAAAAAAAAATAGTTTAAGTCCTAAAAACCCACTGGAGTGACCTCCCTAGCCAAGGGAAAGGAAGGGAATGCCTTGTTAGTTAATTTGGGTAGAAGGAGGCCATTGGTCCCCCCAAGACATGCAGGCATTAATTTGTAAGCCCATGAGCTAGTGAGAAAGATGTCCTGTGTGGGACAAGGGAGGCAGTGACATGCTAACATTTTATGAGTGCCAACTAAGGCTGCCCACACAAGTTGTGGTCCCTGCTCCCCACCCACTCCTCCAAACAGGATTAGCAGCCTGCACAAACTGGACCCCTACTGATGACTTCAGCCAGCGCAAGTGATGAGGTGGGCATGTAGGCCCAGGAAATGGACTCGGGGGAGTTGGTGCCATCTGCAAAGAAGAAGATGGGCTGCCACAAGCACCCCCACCAAACCTGCTTGCTCTCTGCCACAGTACGTATGCTCAATGCACAGACGTACACACTCCCAACTCTGCCTAACACGGCATTCTGATCCGGTAAGATGAAAGCTGTTTTGTGACAACAGTTAACAGTTAAGTTAGTCTAGGTATTTTCTCATGATGGGAGAAGAAGGGAGCCATTTCAAAGCAGATGTAGTTTTTTCCCCCTCTGCCAGTGTGCCTCGGTCGAGCCCTCAAAGACGCTGGCATCTGAGGTGCTATGTTCACAGAGGCTGAGGTGGGCGGGAAGGCCCTGAGAGTCACTGGCTCTAGTGGATGATTTTTTTTTTCTAACCATTTTCCTTTTGTATGGCTAAATCAAAGTGTGACACGGGGAGTTTCTGGTGGTTGGTTTTTCCGAGTCAAAGGAAACCCCGGTGCTTGACTCCTTGGAGGGTAGGGTGCGAAGGTGTGACTAACAGAGAAGCAGCTGCCTCCCGTTTCCTTTGACATCTCTCTCTTACCCACATTTCCAAATCTGACTGAGTCATGCGTGTATGGGATGAAATCTTGACTTGAAAAAAGGTGACGGGGCCTGTTGGAAGAAGCAGCCATGAGGAGGGGCCTGTTCCAGCTGCCTTCTTTTCCAGCCAGGCCTTCTGAGCTAGCTTGAAGGTAAAGGTTCCGTATCTTGCTGTCTAGTTCTTAGACAGGCTGGTCATATAAAAGAAAGAGCACAGCCTGGCCTTTTCCTCTCTCCCTCTCTTTGCATCCCTAGAACTTCTCCCTTAGAGTCAGTCACCTGTCATTCTTCCTTTCTGTCTCCTCTCTATGGCTCTTTGTCTTTCTGAAGTCTCCAGCAAGAGAGGGAGTGTATCTCTCTGTTTTTTTGGTGCCTACACAGGCCTGGTTGCTCCTGTCTCTTTAACAAATTTGTACAATCCAAACCTTAGGCCCTTAAGTTCCCATGGGCTTTTTTCCTTGTCCCTGGGCCTCAATCATCCAAACTCCTGCACCACAAATTATTTGGTTCCCTATCTCTCCTAGTGATTCCTTAAATAAATATGTTGTATATAAAAGGACAAAAATGAAGCCATTAAAAGCAAAATATCCTAATCTCTTTGGAGTATTTGCTTTTCTTCTTAGGAAACATCATTTTGAGAAATGGTTCATGTAATCTCAACTGCTCCACTTGCTAGCAACAGGGTGTGGTATGCAGAGAAGCTTCCTGCCTGGGAGTCCCCTGTGCTGTGAAATCCGGGGCCTGCAGCCTTGTGCTGTTGGTCCGGGGCAAGTTGACCAACTACCTGCTGGGCTCTGGTTTCCCCACCATTTCCCTTGCTCAGAAGGACTCGGGGCTTCAGACCTACCTGGAGGGTATCTTGCGCGCTGAATGGTGGGGCTGGGGGTCTCTCCAGCTGAGGCTGAGAGTGTGGGAGGCGGGGACGTCGGGATAGGCGAAGCAGCCGCTGCCCTGCCAGGCTCTGCTGAGGATCCAGGCTCAGCGCCCGGGCTCGTCGGGCTGCGCTCTCCCGCAGTGGGCTCTGCAGGCACCGAGAGAGGAGACAGAGGTAAGACTAGGTTGGGTCATCTTTCCCAGGCTTGCATGAATGGGTTGGGGGCGGGGGACCTGTAGAAATGCTAGTTAATTACAAAAAATTATCATACGGTTAAGTGAAAGCGCTTAGGGCTCACGGATCCTTGGGCAGGGAGCATCACAGTGTCGTGGGGTAGCTAAGGAAGGTTGCTCACAGCCCTTTTGTGGTACTCGATCTGATGCTAAAAAGCCCCATGGCCTACCGTAGCCCAGGAATTGATCTGTTCTACATTCACTGTTGGTTCTCTGCTTGGGAAGTCAGGGCGACCGAAGAAAGGAGAACACTCAAGGAACGAATATGGCCCCAATTTGGGGGATGGTGGTGCCAGTGAGTATACAGGAAAAGAAAATAGCCATTTTTCAACTCCGACGGCCCCCACTCCTCAAACACAAATTTTACACGCCGCGTAGGAAACGCACAAGGTCCGGAACGAATGCATGAATGCCCGGAGGAATTAAGAAAGTCTGCGCTTTTCATTCTAAATGCTAATGGAGCTTCCCTTCTATTAGTAGCGAGTTTCGGGGGCCAGGGGTCAAGCAAACAAAAGGGCTCAGAGGGAAGAAGGCCTGTTCTGGGAGCCGCGCGCTCAGGCGGGCAGCTTTGGCGGAGGCTGCGGCGGACCATGGGAGGCCCCCAGCATTCAGCAGCGGGCGGTATCCCCGAGGGTGGGCGGCTTTAAGGCTCCAGGCCACCCGGTGGCTCAGAGGGGGTACATTCCGGAGGGCACCCAGAGCGGCTCCGGGGCGAAGATCCCGGTGCACAGCCTGGTGAAACTTTGTAGCTGGAAGCAGCGCAGCTTGCCTGCCAGGGAGGAGGGCTCCAGCTGCCCCAGGCTCCGGCTTATAGCGCCCCCTTTGTCCGGGGTGGGCACAGCTCAAAGGTTAGGAACGTGTCCCCTCCCCCGCCCCCTCCGCCGCCTGGGAGGGGGACCCAACCCTCAAACCAACCAAAAGACCTCTGGTGAGCGATGGACCCAAGGGTGGGGTAAACCTCATCTCCTGCGGCTCCCGTACCCCGAGTTTGCTTGTAGAGAGAAAGGGGCTCGGATTCCCCAGGTCTAGGAAATTCTCGATGGCCAGGGAACGGGGGATTCCCTTGCCATCCCCAGTCCGAGGTGCTCCGACGGAAACCTTGCGCTTGCTGAAGCGCAGGCACGAGTGGATCTTTCCACATCTGTAGCATGTGCTTCTCGCCCTCCCCCTCTCGCATCCTCAAAACGGGGGGTGTCCCAGCAACCCCCCCTTGCACTGGTTGCGGGTACTCCCACCCTCCCTTTCGAGAGTAGTCTTTCTCTGTGGGGCGGCCTCTGAACTCGGGGTGGCGGGGGTCGCGTCTCCCCAGGGAGGGTGCCCCTCTTAGGGGGCCGGCACACCGCCCGCACCCTGCAGACCAGCCCAGCACCCCATCGCTCTCTCCGCCCCCCATCGGCCGGTTACCTAGGCAAAGCCTCTGCGCCTGGAAACACGTTCTGTCGCTCCGGCTCGTGGCCGCTGGGGCCGGGTGCACAGAGCCTCGGGGTTGTAAATTAGGAAGAAATAACTACCTCTGTCAAAGCCCTTTTCTTTCTCGGGGGCAGACGAAGGGAACACCCCCGTGCTCCCCTCCCCGCGGTGAAGTGTGTGGAGGGAACCGTGAAACACACCATTGTGACCCGGGCTCCTCCGCGGAGTTTCCGACCTCTGGTATGGGGGCGGAGGTTGGGCGGGGGCAAGAGAGGTGGAGGAGAGACGAGCAGAAAGGGAAAGACAGAGATTCTCAGAAAGAGCGAGGGAGCCGAGACAAACCCGGGGGAGAATTTCTGTGAGCCAGTGCAGGGTCCCGGGGTGTGTGTGTGTGCGTGGGGGGGGGGGGTCTGCGGAGGGAGGGAGCTGTGGTCCTGAGAGTCTTTTGGTTTTCACGTTATGCTTATCTTATTCGGTTAAAACAACTCCAATAAAGTAATTTCATTCATTGTGTTCAGTATGCGCGCTGGGCAGCTTTTCCTTTTCCCAGCTGGGTTCTATGAAAACATTTCCCGGTGGATGGACAAGGATCACTAAGAACTGGAAGAGGGAGGCGGTGGCTGAGCCGAGCCCTGTGACCTCCCTCCCAGCACCCACGGCCCCAGGGCAAGCAGCTCCGGGGCACTGACGACCACACTCCTCGCGGCTCTTCCCTCGGGAGAACCCGGGCACATAAACAAAAGGCCACCTCCAAGAACGTTCTTGGAAATCAAGGGACCAATGGTCATGAGCTCCCTCATAACTGCCGGAAGCCTCCAACAGGTTCCAGAGCTGCCTGGGAGAGCCAGCCTCGGCGGGCTGCGCTCCTCGGCTCATCCCTCCCTCTCACCACCGAGAACTTTCCTTTCTACGAAGAGCAACACACTCGGAACAACTTCTCCGAAAGCGCAATGAAAAGTAACCCAAGCCTTTCCCGCACCCGCCAAGGCCTGGGGAAGAGGGACGCGGTCCCCACGCGTGTCGGGGCGCGAGAGTCGGCAATTACACCCGATTACCTCCGTGGGGGAAAAGTGTGAACCAGCGAGCCGGCGACGCGAGGCAGACGTGCCTAGAGGAGCCCCGGGCTCATTTCAATACAATAAGCCGCATTCCTACAATTACACCCTCTTTGCCGAGCTCCTCCAGCGCCCCTGCAAACTCCGGCCTCCGCTGCCCAGGCTGCGTCCCTCCTGAGCTCCCTCCCGGACGACCATCTCCGTTTCGCCATTAGGCACATTAACTTGGACCCACCAGAGTCCCTGTTTTCAATCCCACTTAAAAGGCAGGAAAATTACTGCCGTTCATCACCGGGGCTCCAACTCTCTGCCGCCGCCGCCGCCGCTGCGGCCGCCGCCGCCGCCGAGAGCATCATTACCATGACAACTAGAGCCGAAATACCCTGAATTACAACGCTGGGGCTGCTACAGCACAAATCCAGGTCCTCCTCTTTGTTAGAGGCTTCCCGACTCTTTGGGTGGGGAGAGGAATCTCACAAGCTCCCGAGTCCCCGAGGGCCAGCTACAGGGGAAAAGTTTCCGGCTGGAACCCACCCGCCGCTCGGCGAGCACAGCCCGAGTGGGGAGGCGAGTGCGTGTGGGGGGCCACCCCACGCTCGCTCAAAGTTGTCAATTTAGGGAGCGACGCTTCCCAGCGCGCCAACTTTTAAGCAAGTCCCCGCATGAGCCGGGCAAATCACATACGTACTTGGGTGCTGTGGCGGTTCCGTCTTTAGAGCGAGTTTCTAGAGAGCGGTCCCGAAATCTGGACTGGGGGGAGAGTCGCAGCTGCTGTCCCGGAAGGGCTGCGGTGCCCAAGCCCGGCGGCTCCCGGAGGCGGTGAGCGGCTGGCGGGGGATGCTGCGATCCCAACTCATGGGAGAGCGCCGCCGAGAGGTTCCGCCGGCGTCCAGTCTCCAGCCGCGACCCGGGGGTTAGGATGTCGCCGCGGTTCCCACCTCCGTCGCCGCTGCCCGCTCGGTCAGCGCTGCAAAGTGAGCCCAGGAGGGGCGTCCGGCTGCGGCGCCGCGCGGCCCCGGCGAGGGCGCCGGGCGAGAGGGGTGTGAGCGCGCGGGCGAGAGTGGAGTGCGTGCGAGGAGCGTGTGAGCGCGCGTGTGTCCGTGTGTGCGAGTGGAGGAGCCGCGGGTGTGAGCGTGTCTGTGTATGGGGAACGGAGGAGGAGCAGGCGCTGGAGGGGTGGGGGGCGGGAGGCAGGAGACTCGGCTCTCCCGGCTGCGCGTTCGCTCGCTCTCCCGGCACGTCATTTATGCCACAGGAGCCCTAGCGGCCTCTCCATAGAGTGCCTGGAATGCGAGACGTCAATGTGACGCCATGGGACGCTACGTCACCCTCCTCCTCCCTCCCCTGGCCCAGCCGGTTCCGCGTGTGCGAGGGTGTGTGTGTGTGTGTGTGTGTGTGTGTGTGTGTGTGTGTGTGTGTGTGTGTGTGCGTGCGTGTGTGTGTGCGCGCGCGCGTCCCCCCGCACAATGGGAACCGCGGGGAGCTGCCGACCCCGGCCCCGAGGCTTCTCCGCCCCGCGCGGCCAATCTCCCCGCACCCGAGCGGCTCGCCAGGGCGCTCGTCTACCGGAGGGTGCCGCAGCCAGCCGGCGGGTCAGGCGGGCCCGCCCAGCTGTCAGGCTCCGGGTGGAGCAGAGTTGGAGGAGTGCTGCTGCTGGCTGGCCTCCGAGGCTGCCCCGGGGCATCAAGCCAGGTCGAGGGGGTAAGAGAGAGGACAGCTCTTCCGAAAGGGAAGGCTCGGCCAGCCAGTGTCTCCGAGTGACCTGGCAGTCACCGCCGAAGGACTCTGGCACCAGCCCGAAGACTCCCCGAGGTGCAGCTGCGCTTTCCTCATGCAGCGGTTCTGCTAAGGCTGTTTACTAAAGTCTCTCTGGCCCTCTGCGCCTAGGCTAATTTGCCGCCGCTTCCTCCTGTCTGTGGCTGGCGTTTCGCACTGGGATGCAGACGGCTCCAGGGGCAAAATTTTATGTCTTTGCACTTACAGTGTGGGGGTGCTTTACTGGACACTTTATTACTGGACACTTTATGACCCAGAGAAGTGCACATCCCGCCAGGCGCGCGCTGCACGAGAAACTATGTATAAAGCAAACACGCCACACGCGTAGAGCAGCTGAGCCGGCGACTGTTACCCAGGGCTTCTCCCCTCCCCAGCACCGGGCCACACAGGGAACTCTACTCTCGCACTTTCACTTTTTTTTGAGGGTTGTAGACGCCTCCCCTCCCTCCCATCTCTCAAATGAAATATTTCAAAATCAATCAACAGGATTTATTAGTCTGTCTCTAGGGGATGTCCTATGGTCACCTGGGTCACATTTGTCTTCTTAGTTTGTGCAGAAAGCCTGGGCGATTGTAGGAGGGACAGCTATTTCTTCTTGGAAATGAACGTAGGGTGTCACTTTCTTGCTGGAAACAAAACAAAACAAAAGTGTATCCGAGTTAAGAACTCTTAGTTCTTACATGAACTTTCTCAGAAATTATTATTATTATTATTATTATTATTATTATTATTACGAAGGAAATGCTTGAACGAAACAATTCAGACAGCTGCGGTCTCTCGTGGCCCGCTAGAATCCCGGGTGGCATTTTCTTTAAACCCGTCCCAACGTTTTGGGCGTGCGGGTGTCATAGCTGGGGGAAGAGGATCCGCTTGTCTCCACACAGGCTTCAGAATCGAAGAAGGTTCGAGCTAGGACCAGAAACTCGAAAAGCAAAACAGCCTTGCGCAGCGTAGTTAGTCCACGCCTCCACTTTCACTTCAGCAAGCTGCTGTGCCTAAGACCAGGAGGGGACGCTCCGAAAGTTGCCCTACCCCAGGGGAACCGAGCCCCCTGTCGCCCGCGGGTGCGTTCCCATGCCCGCCCGGAGGGAAGGAGGGCGCTCCTACATTGGATCCATTCAAAGGCTGGGGGTTGGGGGAGCAGGACCTGGAGCCGCGCGGCGCTGACGCACGCGAGGCGCGTGATTGACGCAGGCGATGTTACTAAATCGGGCGGTTGGCCGGGCCCGGGCGGCGGCGCGCGCGGCAGATAGCGGAGTAGGTTCCCCTCGGTCACCCCCGCCCGTCTCCATTCAGCGCGGCGCGGGGCGGGGCGAGGCGGGGCGGGGCGGGGCGCGCGCGGCCGCCGCGGGATCCGGCGAACCAAATATAGATGGGCCCCGACTATTTTTAGTGGGGCCTCAGGAGCGCGCTCGCGCCGCAAGAAGGGGCGCCAGGACTCGGCCCCGAGCGCGGACGGCGGAGTCGCCATCTTGTGCTCGGCTCGACCCCGTCCTGGTGCCGGGAAACCTGGGGCGGGGAGGTGGGGGCCCGGGGCTGGAGGGAGGCGCGGGAGCGGGCGCGAGCAGGGCGCGCTGCCGGTGGCGCGCTCGCGCTCGCGCGCGCGCTCCAGGCCGAGCGCGGTGATCCCCATCCGCTCGCCCGGGCTCTTGCAAGCCTCTGGGCCAGATCTCGCCACCGGGCCTGCCGGGCGGGCCCTGACTCGCGAAGGGGCGGAGCTGCCTGCGGCCACCACTTCCTGAGAGCCGGGGATACCCATCCCGGACGTCACGGAGGAGCCGAGGCGGCGGTGGCGGCCCAGGACTCAGGCTGCACTTGCATCATGGGTGCAGCAGCAGCTGCTCCGCTCCTTTGTGCCTTTTTCCCCCTGTTGAGTAACTGCTTTGTTAACTGAAAATACCATGACGGACCAGTGTGATCACCAGTTCCAGACCTCAAAGAAAGTGAAGCTGTCAGGCAAGAAGAGGGAGACTCCCCCAGCCGGCTGTGATGGTATCTGGTGGGTGGGTGTGTAGAGGAGCACTCGACAGTTTTCCACGTATTACTTCTTGCCTAACTCTTCACCCTTAAGAAAGTTTAAAAATACCTTTATTTCCATGCTGTAAAAGTTTCATCTGTGTTCTGCACCCCACCCATTCCCCTTCACGTTAAAAATCTCATACATGCTGCAATCACCAACCAGGAACCCTAAAATCAGGTACAGTTTTTAGGGGATGTGACATCTTTCCATGGACTTGCAGAACACGTTAGTTACATTTTTTCTAACTTAATGTGTAAAAGCTCCTTGTTCACTCAGTTTGTTATAAAGTCACTGACTTTGTTCACATGAACTGGAGGCTTTGGAGACTAGAGTTCACTTACTTGCTCTGGCAAAGAGGTTAAAACATTGTCATAGTTTACCAAATATATGATTATACCACTTGCTCCTGTGTTGGCAATAAAAACCAACATCGTAGATGCTCCTGGATAGAAGAAGTATCCTCTCCCATTCTTAGTGCTGAAGTGTGTAGGGCTCTATAAATAAAAAATGGTTATCCCCCCCCTTGGTGGTAGTGGAGGGGAAACCATTATCCTCTTTTACCTCAAAAAATAAATGTCACTTTTAGCTAGCAGAGAATCTCTAGGCATAGATTCTGTGAGTATGCCTTTGGGGCCTATTCTGGCTAATTTTGGATTACTGTTCTCTTGTGCTTTCTTTTATATTTTTTTCCTACCTGTGGGTCAGTCACGTCACCAGTCGCAGTTTCCCGATGCTCAGTTGGGATGAGCCTGTCTACCGTTCCTGGCTGGGGCTCCTCAGAGTGGGAAGCTGGATTCACCACTGGAGAGTTTCCAGTGGTCACTGATGACTGACAAGGGTTTGAAACTCAGATGCAAAGTCATGGGAGTGGATGTAGGGCTTCCTTATGGACCAGGACACCCACCTCTGCTTAATCAAAGGTCCCCAAACAAATGCAGCCCTTTCCATGACCCAAACAGAATTTTCCCATTAAAAATATATGTTCACAATTCATTCTTTTCTGCATTTAAAGGTTTGATTTATTACAAATAGGAAATAATATTATTTGAGTCTCATGCAATATTTTGTTTAGAAATCTAGATTAATACTTTTTGATTACAATATTTTAAAGTGAATTTAGTACTGGATAAGGCTGGATCTCCAATTTTGAGAAACTAAATAAGACAAGTATCTTAATCTGTGGCATAATGAAAGACATTCCAGGTTTGGTCCTTTTTCTAAGAAAAGGACAATCATGCATGTTCTAGTTTGTACACATGAAGAAGAGAAATCAATTTCTACTTTTAGAACATCCAGTCTATTAAAAACTTCTTATACAGTACAGATTTGTAAGATAACTATTTCATGTATTTCATTTTGCTGTGGATTTGTAGCTCTAATCTGCCTGCAGGAAAGAAAGACATATTTCTCTTGAAAAATAAAATAAGGGATCTGAGGAAATTATGTGTGTGTGATATGAAGCAATTATTTTAGCAGAGTAGGATTAAAAAACTGCTCTAAGAAGAATGACATGCAATTTTGTTGATTTTTTTAGTGCGTAAAAATGATTACTGTTAAAAATAAGAAAAGATGAAAAAGAAATAGAATCCAGGAGCTGGGCAGATGACTCAATGGGTAAGAAAACTTGCCATGCAAACATGGAGACCAGGGTTTGACTTTCCAGCATGTATGTTAAAAGCCATACATGGCCTTGTGCCTGTACCTCAGCTTTGGGGGTCAGGAGACCTGCAGATCCTGGGAGCTTGTTGTCTAACCAGTCTTCCCAAAGCAGCTTGAAACTCTGCTTCTATGAGAGAGGCCGTCTCAAGAGAACAAGGTGGAGAGCCACAGAGGGAGACATCATATGCCCTTCTCTGAGCTCTGCTGCCATGTGCACTGACACATGTTCATGCCCTGTTCATGCGTCATACATGCACCTGCATGCCTTGTACACACACACACACACACACACACACACACACACACACACACACACTGAAATTGCAAGCCAGAAGTTCTCACGTAAGAAAAATAAGTTGTGAATTATAAGCTCATGTTTTCTAAAACCAGTGCAGAGGTCCTATACTAAACACACACATCAGACACCAACGGGTATATAGAAAATTTACTAACTTCGGCTGATACACCACATTCTCTCTCTGTCTTCCCTCCCCCCTCTCCCCAGCTGTACCTGGATCAGGAACCCAGGACCGCTGTAAACTTTTAAATCAGCTCTATCAGTGGCAGATTAGTCTGCTTTAAATACACCTTTTGTTTTGTCATCTGTGGCCTTAGGCTGGATTTTGTCTCCTCAAAGCCCCGGGCCTATTGTTTCTAAATTCTTCCTGTCACAGCTAAACTGTTGTTCTTACTGTTCTTCATACAGCCTTCAACACATTTATCATCCTCCCAGCCTCCCTCCCAGCCTCCCTCCCAACCTTCCTCCCAGCCTCCCTCCCAGCCTCCCTCCCAACCTCCCTCCCAACCTTCCTCCCAGCCTCCCTCCCAGCCTCCCTCCCAGTGTCCCTCCCAGTGTCCCTCCCTCCCTCCCTCCCTCCCTCCCTCCCTCCCTCCCTCCCTCCCTCCCTCCCTCCCTCCCTCCTCCCTTCCTCTCTCTCTCTCCCTCCCTCTCTCTCTCTGGACACCCATCTCCTTCTTCTCCACTTACTGAAATCTTAACCGGAGTCTAAAATGAGCTTATGAAGAACCATAGTGTGCTTGAGCCTTTCGTAACATTCTTATTTTCCTGATTTTTAGTTCTCTTTTGTCTATAACTTACAACCCTGTCAAATCACAAGCTTTGAAAACCTGCCTCACACACCTCTGAAATTTCTGTGGGACCCAAAACTGTTGACAGAAAACAGATAGCCATACGATATGCGCCATGTAACTTGAATGCAGACAGCTGCCATAGTAAGCTCTGTGGCAGATATATGGATAGGGCAGCTTTGGCGTGGATGCATATATTTGAGGTCACTGGCGTTGTTTTCTTTACCTGAACTTTTCCGGCTCCCGACTGAGCACAGCTTGTCAAGGTGCCCGCCAAGGGCACAGGCAGCTGCGTGGTGATACAAGGAAATGGCAGTTTGGCTTGTTGCGTAGGAAGCTTTGCTGTGATCTTTTCTTTTCTTTCCTGGCAGACTTTTGGTTTGACTCTTACTGTGCTCTAAGTTCTTCCCTGTCTATGTGTGTGTGCTTTCTCTGATGCTGCTTTCAACAGTGAGCTACAGAAGCTGCAGGCTTGCAGTCGCTGCTGCCATCCTGCGGGGTGGGGGGCGAGGGGATACTTCAATACGTGGAACACTGGGAACTGTGACATCTATGCTCAATCAGTGGAATGCAAAGCTTCTTGACTTTCTTACCTTTTGAAATGTTGAAGGGGACACGAGTGCCACTCTGTTAAGTGGGGAGATGAAGGGGACAAGGATTTGGGGATTATGATTTGTTAGACGCATGTGCGACTTAGAGTCGTACTTTACTTGGTTAAAGTAAATCCTACTTTAATAAAGGAAAGGCAAAACAACAAATCAGGAGAGCCTTCTGATTTTGTAGAAAAACTTCTAAAATGTACAACCCTGAGGTGGAGAGATTATTTCATGGTATAAGGGCTAATAATGTTTTGCGGTCTCATTAATGGCTTCTCGTCCACCTGTAATGCTAATGGATTGTAATCTGGTTTAAAAGATCGTTTGATTTCTCAATCGTGTTCTCCCTAGCTGCTGCTAGCTGGAAGACTGTAGTCATTTAGATGGGCAAGGTTATTCCCATGCATAATAAGAGAGTTTAGGTTTTCGCTAGCTGCCGATTCTTGCCCATTATCCTAGCCGTGAAACAAATACCACCTCACGCATACAAGTTCAGACCCTTCCATTTCTGCAAAAGTGAGAGTCTGTGTGCTACAGAGCTACTGACTTTCGTAGAGAATAGGGCTGGCCTTGGCTACTGTGGTAAACAAATCTTTCAGGGGCCTGTCAGGATCTGTAAATGACAGTGTTGCCTTCCCTTTATGGTCTTGTAGCTTCTAAAGTTGAATGCTCTTTTGGACTAGTTAAATTTTGTGAATCATGAGCCCTCCTGCCCGAGACCTTAAGTAACTACGGCCTACTGTGGTCAGGAGTTTCATTAACTCCTCTCTGTAACACATGTGCTTTTAGTAGTATTATATTGGTAGTAGTATTTTATTCAGCTGCTTTGGCTGGTAATGAACCCCAGCCATCATAGGAGTGGGATCCCAGTGGTCTGAGAGAGTCCCTGTACTGCCGGCACCACAGCCCTTTCCCTGTCCGCAAGCTAGAAATGAACAGAAGCCTGGAGAGTCCAAAAGTCATTTTATATTTAGTCTTGGAATTTGTCTTTGAACATTCATCTGAATATGGATGAGTCACAAATTGACTTCACACACATTAGCAAACTTTCTTGGAGCGACTCTGCTGTTTGCTGCTCTTCATTCCTTCCTGATCCTTCCTGCATGTTAGGCACAAGCCGCTT